CATATTTTTGTCGCAGTGTAAAATTTTATTCACAAATATAATATAATGTGTACTGGATCATTTTACATTCTACAGTGTTTTATTGCAGTAATAACTCGCTGTTTTCTAGTAAATCACGTGAACAAAGCATGCCTTGGGAAGTTCCAACATTTTCTGATCAATGGAATAAAGCTCAGTAAAGAAATAAAGGGATGTAAATGCTGCATTCTTCAATAATACCCATTTGCACGTTGCATAACCACATTTAGATGGAAACATTAAAATAACAACTTGAACTCATGTCGTACTCCCGATGTGTAATACGTGGAAGAAATATCTAATGTTAAATTACGTTGGTCTTCTTAAGTCAAATATCTAGTTATATGACCACCAAGAACATGCACCCCAGGAAAAGGATTTCGAATCAACGGGCTACGGATGATTTTGTTCATCCATTGCAAATACTTGTTTAGTCGATATTGATAATTTCACTATCAACTTGATGGATTCTGTGAATATTGTCTTCTAACTGATAAACGAATTAAATATTGTCGCGGGTTTGGAATATATCTAAAGCATCTGTTTTTTTTTTCATCTATAGTTTTGTTTTCAGTTTTATTGCAATTAGTGAAAAGTCATAATTAGGTGTGTGCAAAATGATACTTATGTAAAGTGCTTATCTTTGTTGTTTTTGTATCAAAGCTCTAATGCACATATCCGGTATGCCACTGAACTCATCGATCACTGTTTTAATACTACTACTAGAACCTATTCAGAAGTGGAAGATAAATATTCCAAGTACAATGGGGGCACACGTGAATGTCAAGAAGAGATGTACGTTTATGAATACATGATTTATCACGCAAAAGTCTTTTCGGAGCAACTCATACTCACTCCAAAATAAGACAAGATGCAAACACTTTTTGGGAGAGAAAGGCTCAAGTGATTGATTACCCGAAGCTAGAATGAATGACTTTTTTTGAAAGAGAAACTGTTGCCAGAAACAACTCATACCGCTAATGCCCTAATCCATTCTAATGTTTTGAATCTATCATCTTTATATTATACACACATGGTTCTACCAATGCAAAAGCATAGAAAAACAATCGGTAGCTGGTGTTCTTCCAGTAAATCTAATCAGTAGCAGATACTATTAATGTTTAAAATGTTGCCCCTTCCAAGTAAAATGAATTGAAAAGTCATGTGGTTCGTATGCTATGTAAATAAGAAAAATAATTGTAATAATTTGCGAAGCATTTGTATACCAAAAAACAACAGTATAGGCTGGTATATATATATTTGGTTGAGTCAATAGCGCCTCATTCCTACTTTTTCTATTTGTCGAGCATGTCATGGATATGCATAAGCTTCGCGCATTCCACGCTTATAAGTATAAAAACAAACGAAAATAGCAGTTTATTATAATATTGTACTTTTTTTATTGTTCGTGAAGAATTTATATTAAAATGTTTTGAATCGAGGCTTGATTCAATACGACCTTTCATGTGATTACTGTAGTGACAAGGTTGTGTCGATGATCAAGCAAAAAGTATGAAGAAAAGTATTGAAACAATTCAAGACAATCAATCCATCGTGAGTCATATCGGAAATGTTTTCGACTTAAGTCACTTAATTGATTTGTGTTTTTCGCTTTAATTTTGTAATTAACGTTTAGTAAAATCGATACAATAACATAAAAAAAACAAAGCAGGTGTAGTGGATTGGGCTAATAAAATAGGGGTAGACGGTGAAACGTAATGTAAAGAGGATAGAGACGAGGGAGACATATATATGTTATAGGAGGATTGTGTTTGCTTTGCGGGATACATGAAATGAACTCTCGATCATGATGATAGTGGAAAGGCAATAAAGCAAGATAAAACACACGACAATGACCAGTCAACACAATTAATTTTGCACCTGATAACATTTTAAATTAAGAGACACAAATGTACATGCCGTTAAAGCACTCTAAATCATGTTTTGAATAAAAGTTGCTGCTAAATTCCGTTGGTGACAAATTTTAATAATAATAAACGAGAACATCAAACAAATTGAATAGACAACAAACTTTGTTGTTGATTTTGCACAGAAATTCATTTCATCTCTTTTTCAATTTAACCAGCTTTACAATTTTATGGTGTATATAACACAGTAACGTTGCTTTGTCATTGTCAATTGATTTGCCACAATTCTGTAAATGCTTCAAAAATTGCAGCTAGGCTGTGAATGATGAAGAATCAGTTTCAACATCTATTTGTGCTTATCAAGATTTTGCTGGTTCTTGGTTCAAATACGGAAGAAATAAACTATCGTGGGTAAGTATAATACCTAAACTTTTTATCATGTTTTTACACAGTGACAAAAATCTGAGATTTGGAAAAAGCAAAATGTATTTAGAACCAAATACATTTAATTTAGATATATATTATTTTTTTCGACGACAATGCAACATTCCTGGTTGCGTATGGAGTTATCGATGCTAGAAAATCAGTTTTTAAAAAAAAAAAAAACAATGATGGATTGATGATACTACACAAATAAATTGATCTAGTTTTAGTTTAATAATTTTCCTAATATCGGACATTTTAGCCCCCAAGTATGGCGAATTATCCCCAATTCAGAACATGATTCGAACTCAAAGAAATTGGGGATATCTATAAGGTATTTACCAGTGGCGGCGCGTGGTCATTTTGACAACCGGGGCAAGCTACTGCGGGACCAAGTCACCCCCATCTACGGGGACAGGATGAGCGCTGTAAGTTCTCCCATCATTTTATGAGTATAAAAACCATTCCATCGGTAACAACCAATCGGCAAAAGCGACAATTTTTAACGATAAGAAAGTGTCTTTAAAACCGGTCCAAGTCAAGGGATTAATAAATATAGACATAGTTTATTTTGAAACCTCTTTCAAAAGGAAAGGCAATATTTACCCAGATAAATACAATGACATATTAACAGAAACTTCGGGAAAGCAGACAAAACCTAAAATAAGGTTTAAAACGTTACTATGAAGAAAGGAAAGGTAATGCAAAGATAAGGACATGCGTCGCTCACTCATAGATATATATGCTGCTAGACTTCTACTGCTTGAACATATATGCAACACGCCGCGGTTTCTTGGAAGCAAAATGCTCAATAACGCGCTGATTAAAGTCATGCATCCCAGAAATAACGTCTCTGTGAATGGATAAAACAGCCAAGGAATTTAATCTATCTTGCTTCATTGTGTTTCTGGGATACGTTTTAATACGCTTTAGCGTGCTGAATGTTCGCTCTGACTTCTGAGTCGACGGAAGAAATAGGCGTCGTCAAAATGATGTCCAGAAATTTTGCAGACGCCGCAAAGGTAGTTACTAGAGTGTTATCTATGAGGAACCCATAGAGCGCGCAAGTTGATGTGATGTTCAAAAAAGTTTGATTGGTGTATATACATCGCAATTCATTTTCCAATTTACTCACATTTATCATGGGGTAAAATTTGGAGACAGTAGCCAACAAATGGATGGGAAATTGACGTGCAAATTTTGAAAAATGTTTGGGGTTCATCAAAGAGAACGCGGCAAAGTGTTCAGTGCGCAGACGATCGCCTATTTGATTCACCAGAATGTCACAGCATTCCTTTGCAGACAAAATCAAACGCTGCGTTGTTTGCCCGCGGCGTAAAGAAGCACTCCATGTGTCATCTTCTAGCAGACGCTTTAGACCTGCCGCCTCCCTCACAGAGCGTTCGTCCCAAACCGGAGAGCTCTGAATGTCATTGAAACACTCAATGAGCTCAGACCTAATTTCGGACACGCCCTGCACCACGCGTGCACAAGCCAATTCCAACGTGTTGGTGCACAAGCTGGGAGACGGCGGCTACATATCTGGCGAAGGAGGTTAGAGCGCTTCGGCGAAACGGAAAAAAATGAAGTAAACCCCGAAACATTTGCAAAAAATATACGGACGAGAGGGGTATCAAGACACATATTTTTAATAACGAGGTTAAATTGGTGTGCATAACAATGTAAAAAATGCGCATGAGGAAAATCTTCTTTTATATAAACTTGAACACCATGTCTCGACCCACTCATGACTGACGCGCCGTCATAAGTTTGAGCTATCAATTTTGACTTCGCGTTGTAAGGCTGTAACACTTCTTTCAGTACAGAAGTAATATTTAAAAAAAATTATCGAATCGAAAGGACTGAATATTCAAATTAAAGTAGCTGATATATCATATTTTACTCACACTCTAACGATTTGTTCCAATATAGGGTGATATTGACGTAAAATCATTGTGCTCATTAACTGAAATCTCAGTTCAAGAGTATGTCAAATAAAAGCGCACAGAAGATCGCAATTATTTCCATTTATGAAGTGTAATAAAACTCACAGCATAATTGTGAATATTGAAAGTGAATAGAAGTGGATAATAAGATTTGATGATATACCAAACGTTTATATGCTATCAAAATGTAAGCAACCACAGTGCATATTGAAATATATTTGGAGGATTTCATTTATTCAAAAGACGTTAAACAAATAAACCCAAATAAATAAAATCCCGTATAATCATTACTCACACAATTGTACGTTACACGGACGCAATTGGAACAAAACTTTTTCAACGACTTCTCCATTGTCATTAGCAAATACTGTTTCTATTCAGGAGTTGTTTTCAAAACTATTACAGAATCGCCGCTGCCTATGCCCACATGACTGAAGTCTCATAATTGTGACTTTTTGATTCCGTGATATAACATAAAAGATTGTTTAATTAATAACGGTATACGAAGAAAACGTGTCATAACGAATCCAAAACAAATCGCACTCAAAGTAGTTTAAAACGTTTTGAACTTGTGTAGATTTCTGTGCAGTACATACTTAGCTCATAGTTTTATTTACCTTTTGGCAAAGTAGTACGGTGATAATGTCAATTTGAGTAAGATGTTGATTTTGAATGCGCTGGTTTACTAGAACCATTATAGTATGTAACCAGTATATGACAAGTAAAAGTAGTTTGAACTCGCCTATTTGATCAATTTATCTTAAAACACAGCGACAATGGGTATTCATTCGTTCGAAAACCAAAACGATATGAGATATTCAAAATGCAACGCGATCGATCCACCTGATTTTCTGTTTACATAAATGCTAGCAAAATCAGTTAAGTTATCGTTTGTGATAAAATTAGTGATGTATAGAGCTCTTTTTATATTAGTTGCAATATATTTGGACACTTCCGTGGCCACTGATACCAGATATCAAGGGTAAGTAATCATAGTTTACGAGAATGGAAATGGATTTAAAACAAATTATCCCGTTTAATAAGGTATTACTAAGAAGCTTGTTTTTTTTGCAAAATTTCGACTCGACAATAATGCCGAAATTATTGCTGAATTGGTTTTTATGCTGAAATTTAATTTTAACTAATAATACAGTAATACAAAAACAATAGGATGCAAATCATTACCTAAAAATCATTCTCTTAAAAGTATTCTTTGGAAAAGTATATAGTGTGTAAAGTATATATCAAAAATGGCATACAACTTGAATGAAAACTTAATCTGGTTACCGGCAGGCCCTTTAATATGCATCATTGTAGTAGAAATTATAGTCATGGATAGCACCGTGTTGCACCGTGCGTTCATTTTTATAACACAAGGAAGGTTATTTGTACATATATTTATATATAATTCCCCCCCTTTATATTTAGTCATCAGGTATGGAGAATCATTCCAAACAGCAATGAAGAATTGGATCATTTGAGAAACATGGGACATGCATTTCAGGTGATCATTGACTAAACACACAGTTTAGACACAATTTTCCAAAATACACACCCTTATCAAAACTTCATTCTCAATTTCCTTTTGATGTTTTTCCTCTAATATAAGCATAAATCAATATGTATAGCATAAGTTTATCAGAATTTGAATGAAAAAGAGTTCATTATATATACATTACAAAATACTTTAGTTTGCCCACTTGTATTGATTAATAACATTTCATTCCTTTTGTTTAGCTGGATTTCTGGCAAGATCCAATTGCAGTTGGCTCAGCAGTGGATGTTCGTGTGTCACCAAATCACATCGAAGAGCTAAAGAGATCGCTGGAAACCAGTGGGATATCTAAATATAAAGTTCATATATCTGATGTACAGGCACTTATTGATGACGAAAAGTTGGGGGGAAAGTTCAATGAGAGAGCTTCAGCTGGGAGCCTTGCTAACTTCGTTTACTCAGAGTATCATCCACCGGAAGAAGTAAATTTATTGTTTGAGTAGTTACACTGTAAATATATTAACGATAACATTTAACAATGCAAATCTCTGGTAGGCTCCTTTGGGATCAACCATTGCCTGTAATTTTGTTTTACTTCGATATATTTTGTGAAATCGTCCATTCGAAGAGCCATTGCTTTACTGAATATTTCTTGTCCAGAGACACTTTTCGGTGATATTTTTAAACCGTAATTGATCCATTTATAATGAACCTTTTTACTGGTAGATATTCCAACTTGAATCTTTGTCAGACAAATTTTCATACCGGTATCACGTAACACAACGTACGCTGTACCTCTCTGCTCTAAGATATAGAACGTGATTGTACATTTTATGTATATAAACAATTTTTTTTTGGGTTGATAATTATTAATGAATAGTGAACTGAATTCAGTACACGGAAGGCATGTCATTACATTTTCAAATTGGCATTGAAATAGAACAAGAATAGTGCAATGCATTTTTTCCAGATACACGAATGGATGGATTTAGTAATAGCTGAGCATGGAGAAATAGCAACAAAAGAGCAATATGGAGTATCGTATGAAGGTAGACCATTGTATGTACTGAAGTTTCAAAAACGATCCAGCATGGTCAATCCAAAGCCAGTTATTTTTGTCGATGCATTGATTCATTGCAGAGAATGGATTACAGCTGCGTCTCTCTTGTTCATATTTAAAGAGGTAATGTTACATTATGTTGTTTACTATTGTTTGTTCCATAATTTATTTTAACTACAGGAATGTAGGCAAATGCGTGTAGTTAAACGACTACACCATTGTCAATGAGAAGTAATCAGAGGATACGAAGTTTAGCACTACTCCAAATATCAACTAACACGCATGACTAAACATAGTTCGTGATAAGGGTCACACCACTCTTGTTTCTAACATTTATTGGACACGTTAGTGGACATAGCGATCGTTTCAATATTACGTTGTTGTTCTTGTTATTCGTCCTCATTATCATTGAAAAATCGCTTTTCTCTTGAAATACTGGACCAATTGCCTTGAAGTTCACATTGGTTAAAGATTGATTTTTTGCCAGAAGGCTATTTATTACTTTTATTTATTTCTAAATTTCGTTCAAAATTTCGCTGTATTATTTTATGCATGGAAACACTGGTTGTCCGGTTTGATTCTATAAATTCCTGCTAAGCAAAACTCCAAGCAAAATTTTTTTGAGAGTACCCGTATCGTCAAAGGTAAGGACTGCTTCGCTCTAGTTAACGTGTCCATATATTTGAGCATTGCTCTATTGTCATATATACATAATATAGCCTAGTCCGTATTACATGGAATGCTTACGAAAATTGGAAGTTGATGAACTATGATCAATTGTAATTCCAAATCGTGCTCAATCGACTGTGACAAAAGAATCAAACACAAAATGCCAGACTGGCTGATATTCAGGATATCTTAATAAACTCCGTTTTCTCGCGTTAATGCTGGTTGTTGTTGCTTGATATGGATATCTAAGTGCAAATTATTTTCCAGATGCTCAGGAATCCAAAATATACTCACATGATTGATGATGCTGATTGGTATTTTGTGCCCATGGTGAACATAGATGGATATGCATACACCTGGACTGGGGTAATTTCGATTTGGAACAATAGCTATGCACAAGCTTGTTTACGTCACCACTTACATCACCTTTCCTTTTATTTTTAAATTTTAATAAATTTAAATTTGTTGTTACAGGATAGATTGTGGAGGAAAACACGAACGACAGGTGCGAGCAGCCAATGTGATGGCGTTGACGCTAATCGAAATTGGGATAGCTATTGGTCGAGTAAGTGTTAGAAGAACAAAATTCATTTTTTTCTTATTTTATTTTACTACATCATGTAAATTTAACTTTTTATTGCTGAGTATGACTACAACTTTCTGAATATTCATCATTTCAAGAAATGCCCGAGAAGACTCCATTCTGGCAGTTGAATAATTCAGGAAGCCATTGGGAATGCTGTGATCCACCCTGATATACGTGGCCGGTCATGATTATTACAACCAATGCAAGATTCACAATATACTAAAGCCATTTATTTGTTCATTCAGCTATGTTTATCAACGACTGGTTTATTTCTTTTCAGTATTGCGTTCCTATTACTTTCATTTCAATATATTTGATATTTTACTTCCTCTCAGTTACTTCGTCTCCGAACCCTTGTCAGTTTGATTTTCATGGAACGACGGCCAATTCAGAGCCCGAGATACGTCGTCTTGCAAATTACGTTTTGAGTTTAGGAAAAGGGAGAATTGATGCCTACATATCTACTCACTCATTCTCACAGCTTATTCTTTATCCATACAATTATGCCGACATTCTCAGCAAAGATGACGAACTTCTGGTATGCCATTTTGCTATAATAAAGAGTGGTTTAGATTTATAAACGTATTCGATGAGATGATGTGAATTTGCGAGTTTAGGCATTTTATTTATCAGGTGTTAGATCTAATACCAACATCATTTTACAGGTTTATATTAGATAAACTTGTATTAATTCTGTAAATGGCCCGATATTTTTTTTAATTGGGATCCTTGTGATGAGAGCGAGTTTTAAAAAGTTGAAACTTCCCGTCATAATTTTCATATAAAACCTCACAAAAAAGCTGATATATATCTACTACGAAGGTAAAACTTCTTGCTTAATAGAAACTATATAATAACATTCAAATCGTATTTATATTTCAGAATACTACAGGTAAAAAGATTCATGACGCAATGAAATCAGTTCATGGAAAATATTACGAATGGGGACCAGGATCAACAACATTGTGTAAGTGGAAAACTTTAAAAAAAAATTAAATATAAATATTAAACAGCGAAACACTTAGAATGTTAATCGAAATGGTGTTACATTTATATATAAGATTCAAGACTAGATTTATAGTGGTATTCACTATCAAGTCGTTATTTCAGCATTTCAGGACGAAACACTGTCACTTAATCATTAGCTCATATTGTGCACCTTCCAGTATATATACGTAATAATAGATCTGACATATGATTACATTTTTATAACCTAGTTTCTTTCCACTATAATAGCTCCACTTTATCTTTTTTGAATCACAGACCCATTTTCCGGTACAACCACAGATTGGACTTACGATGTGGCAGAAATTGTTCAATCTTACACATTTGAACTTCGAGATAAAGGTTTTTATGCGTTTCTGCTTCCCGCTGACCAGATCATTCCTACTGGAGAAGAATATCTCGCTGGACTGGAAGCTCTCTTAGAGTACTTGAAGGGAATCCCCAGCAAATAAAATTGCATAAAAAAATTATTCTGACGTCATACATTTTTTCTGAAAGCGCAGTTAATTTGTAGATATACAGCAAAATTAATTGTTAAATTTGCATGTCACAAAAACACTTTATATATATTTTTATTGTACTAAATTAAATCGTATTCTCTGGAATATTTTAGCAGATCTTGATATTTTTCTAATTGCGATGACGGATTCGCAAGATCGCAAAGATACGCATCGAAACTAAATATCATCTGGCAGTCTTTCTCGCATTTTTATGCGAGATTGTCGTGGTATTGTAGTTGAAGTATCATTGCTTTTATTTTGTCGTACCTCGTCGCAATCGTGAATTACGTTGAACACAATTAAATCAATAAATCAATGTAGAAAGACATATTAAATTCTCGTAGTTGTCATGGATTGAATATTTTACTTTACAGAAAAATATTTATACGCTGAAAAAGTGGCTCTTTTTTATGTCTGAAAAGAAAGACAAGTACCTTAAATGTGTGATGAACAGTGCAAGTTTGAGATAAGAATTAAGTAGCGCGTAATTGAAGTGACTCATTCAGAAGCCGTAGCAGCGGAAGTTCTGATTCGAAACCCACTTCCTTTTAAAAATCCTGCCAGCGCCCCTGCTTACTACTAAAACCAGGCTGACCTTAGATCTGAATTCTATGATTTGAAGAAAACTTAAATAAATAATGAAAATAATCACTCCAGGTACAATTACATATTCAAATTTACAAATTGATAGAAACATGAAAAATAAAAATTGCGGTGATTTATGAATGCGTACACAGAGCCGAGCTTTTTGGCAGCAGCGGTGGAATTAGGTGTATGCGTGTGCGGTAATTTATGACATCGCATGTAATGTCAATTTTCATTCTTTTTTTATTGCTTTACAATAAAGTGAGTTATGTCCCTATACCCAGGGATCATTAGGCTTTTGCCGCGTTATGCGAGGCAGTACACCCAGGTCATATGTTTACCCGGCAACTAGCGCTTTTTATTACCCATGTCGCGGTAAGCAATAACAAACACAGCGGATTCATTTATCTGTTTGTGAGTTTGTGAAAGAAGTTTATGAATAGCTGAGAGTCGCATTTTTTTGAAAGGGATAATATGGCTTACACAAATATGAATTGCAAGCTGATTAGTTCTTTATTGCGTGGAATCCGTTGAAAAGATTCGACTATGTCTAGGATAGGCGTTGCATTGTGGAATATATTTTAATTAAGGGAACATTGTGAAATACAGTATATATATATGTAAAATGAAGCAAAAATATTTATATGCAAATAACCGATATATACAATTCAAAAAAATATGGAAGATTTTCCCCGTTGTTTTAATATTTTATTTGTATTTATCAGTGATACCCACAATGGGTAGGTTAGGAATTTTATTGTTATTTGTTGGAGTGTTTATCAGCTTTTCGGCATCAGCAAAAGTACAATACACAGGGTAGGTATGTGGCATGTGGTGATGGAATTCTGAAACCAATATATTGATTACACATCTGCCAACGTAATAATGCCTCGCAATCCAGAATTTTAACTGCTTTGTATTACCTTTTTTATAAGAGTAAAAGTGCTCAACAATTGAGAATTTTTTTTTTACTAAATTAATGATCTGTACGTTCAAAAATCCATGCATACTTACTTGTTATAAATGGGGTATTTTTATTGAACATATAATAAACAATATTATATTTCAAGCCAGTCCTGATGTCATCGTGTATAGAAAGAATACTGATGTTATTGACCACCCGAGCAAATTTGATTCCAATTTTTGGCTATTGTTACAACCAATTAGTCAACAGCATACATTTGCCAATTCTATATTTCAGACATGAACTTTGGAGAGTGACGCCTTCATCATCTGAAGCTCTCACTAAGATAAGACAAATTGGAGAATTGTTCAAGGTATATTCATAGTTAGGCATGCATTTCTCATAATTTTCAGAATAAATTTAAAACATTTGATAACAATTGCAAAAATTTCATATGTGAACAATTTTCAGCTTGACATTTGGCAACATCCTAAAGCTGTCAATCTTCCAGTCGATTTTCGAGTCGAACCGAAACAAGCCCAAAACCTGAAAAAGGCACTTGAACTTGACGGCTTCGAAATTACTGTCCTTGTACCAGACATCCAGTCACTTATAGATGGGGAAAAAGTGAGCACTAAACGCGAAGTCAGGGCTTCAGCGGGGAGTGTGGCGAATTTTGTTTACTCTGAGTATCATCCTGCCGAAGAGGTGAATTTTGATGATATATATATATTCATTTTTCTGTTTTGTCTGAGGTAAATGGATAACAGCATATATCCGATGAAATTCTTGGTAAGATCATGAGCGTGCAATCATCGTAAGAACTTCTCTTTATTTAGGGTTTTAACTTGTGTATTAAACTAGGTATACGAATGGATGGATTTGGTAATAAAAGAGCACAGCCCAACAGTCACGAAAGAACAATTTGGCATTACTTATGAAGGAAGGCCACTGTATGTGTTGAAGTTTCAAAAACCAGCTATTAATCCAAAACCAGTTATTTTTGTTGATGCTTTGATTCATTGCAGAGAATGGATTACGACTGCATCTCTCTCGTTCATATTCAAAGAGGTATGTTTTTAAGGTGATGATTTAGGAAAATCATCTCCGATCAATCAATGAATCAACGGATAATTTGTTATTTAATGGAGCAGATTATGACTAAACGATTTAAGTCATATGTACTATTTATTGTATTGCATTTTCCAATACACACAAATTAGTAAGTTTTAGCGATTTTACCGGTTGTATTTTTACTAACGCCTAATGTAAATCTATTGAAATTCTTCCATGGGCAGACCGTTTTACAAATGATCAATGTGCATGTTCTTAAACAATACTGTTATACGCATGAAAGGAACCCTATACGAGAACAGGGTTTGGTTACTATAGCAAACATCTTATTAAAGAACAAATTCAATTAGTTTGTAAATTTTTCTGGCATCATTTATCTCACATATATTTAGATGCTGCGAAATCCCGAATATGCGCACATGCTTGATGACGCAGACTGGTATTTTGTGCCGATGATCAATGTTGATGGATATGTCAAAACATGGACAGAAGTTAGTATTTTTTTTTTATCGCAATTCAAAAATAGATTTTAGATTATGCATTTATTTAAACATGCGTAATGGACACAAAACTCAATATATTTTCCCATGTAATTCAATAATATACTAAGCTTTAGTAGTAAAATACTGGTACGAGAGCAATAAAGCAACTGGTGTTTGTGGTCAAAAGAGCACGAGAATAAATTTCCATTTAGTAAATCTATTTCGGAAATTCATTTTCCAATGTGTCGTATATTCATACTTCATTTGGACGTAACTATGATCACAGTATGATTGTTCATTAGCTGCTAAAGAAAACCTTACCAAATACATATAAATCTCAGTATTATTATTATGATAAGATTAGCATTTTTATGAGTCGCGTATCATGTGAGTATATACATTGTCTCGCGAATAGTGAATGTTTTACACCATAAGTTGTATGCTGCGATTAGTGTCATGGTAAAAATATAAAAGTTCCAATCCTTTTATAGCCAACTTTCAACATTCCAGAATAAATAGTGTCTCGAAACAAGAATATAACCACAACGATTACCTAGTCAACTTCCTTTTGGCCACTTGCCAAATGAAATTCTGTAGTAGGCTACTGTATGTGCTGCTTTAGCAAAACTCTATTTATACAGGACAGACTATGGAGAAAAACTAGAAGTCAAGGAGCAAGCAGTTTGTGTGAAGGTGTAGATGGAAATCGAAATTGGGATGCGTTCTGGTCATGTAAGTAACATTTTATTCTGGAATTTCACTCGATAATTTGTCATAATAAAACTCAGTACATATACAAAAAAGTATCTCGATTCCCTTTTCTTTTAAATTGAAATATTTCAATTAGTTTGATTACTTTTTTTTCACGCAGTGCCAGGAGCATCCAAACATCCTTGTTCTGTGGTATATCACGGGCCGACCGCTATATCGGAATCAGAAGTACGTCATCTTGCAAATTACGTCACTAACTTAGGCAAAGGGAGTATCGATGCTTACATCACTACCCATTCATACTCTCAGTTAATTCTATATCCATACCATCATACTGCGGAACCTTCTAAAGACGATGAAATTTTGGTAAGTCGTATATGTGCTTATTGTGATTGGATAGGTGAGTTTGTTATTTGGATTCCGACATTGACTAGAAATAGCGGAAACAGCACACATCTATTATTTTTACAGAATTAAAATTTATATTTAGAAAGCAACAGGAAAACTAATGCACGATGCCATAAAATCGGTTCATGGGAAGACTTACGTATATGGCCCAGGATCTACAACAATTTGTAAGTGATGATCTTAGCAGTACAGTTCTAAAACAAAGCAACATGCGATGTTAAATATTTTTATGTCACGTACAATTCTTATTTTAGATCCAAGCTCCGGAACTACAACTGATTGGACCTACGAAGTTGCCGGAATAGTTCAATCATATACATATGAACTTCGTGACGATGGTTCGAAATATGGTTTCCTCCTTCCGCCTGATCAAATCATACCAAATGGAGAGGAATACATTGCTGGATTACAGGCTCTCTCCAACTATCTGAAAGACAAGATGAGTGGTACCTTACTGTAAGGCAGAGCAAACATGTATATATAAAACATTTGTGATTTCTTGCTGTTTTAGTTTGTATAGCTCACGTTCAGAATATTTCTTTTTGGAGACATTCATTTACTTTTCTCAACTTTTGAAACAATCGAAACATTTTACTCAAAAACATTAGAAGGTATTGTAGCAAGCTATTGATAATTTTATGTGATGATAGAAGTTTGAAAGTCTTGTAAACAGTTATTGAAGTTTACAATGTTTTAAAAATTGACGTCATTTTTGAATATAATATACGACAACAATTGTAATGAATATAGTTAAGTGTTTTATTAAAAATGTAGAAAGTTTAGTCTAACTCTGCAAAGTTCAAATAGAAGACATAGTAACTGTGAATTCCTATTGGAATATTTATTCAACTCGAAAAATTTATGAATGATATCGTTAGCCCAATAGCATTATTGGACAGAGTTGAGTGTAACTTTTTTTCCTCGTTTCATAGCTATTACCGATAAAAAATATCCACAAGCTTCATCGAACAGAAGCTAAACAACAGAAACATGTTTTGCTTGTTGTCTCGTGTACTACTCAAAAAAGCCAAAATGAAATTTATACTACAACTTTCGTTTTTTGAATTGTTCTTTTTTGTGAAAAATAAAGCCCTGAGTATTCTTTATAGTGATATGATAATAGAAAATTGTCATCACAAACATATTTCATAGATTTCAAAAATGATCACATTATCATCGATTTGGACAAACGATCTATTATGAAAATTTGAAGTTTACGGGTTCATTTGATTTTTGCCAGACGCGTGGTCATGGTAAATACTTCACAGAAGTAGAAAAAGAATTCAGAAAACCATGGGATATCGTAGATAAATAGGATCAATCAACGTATTGGTGGGTCGTTGGTTAGCTGTTGTAGGTTCACGATAGTTCATAAATTCACTGAATCTTTCTAATTACATTCATGGTAGGCATGTAACCGCACTCAGTACACTCAACCGTACACTTTTTTCATTTACTTACGAATTACAAAAATCATGTAGTCAAATATTTAAACTATATCGTTTTTAGTGAGTAAACATTACATAAAATGTTGGCAGAAAGTAATCACATTTATCATTTACTCTATCACAACGTTCTTCAATCATTGCCACGTGCCAGGAATTGACACTCGGATTGGAGTAGCAAGTGGTAAGCTTTAACAAAGTGTTCGCCACTAGTTGTATTATACCCAATTCGGGTCATACCTGATTTTCTCAAAACAGTGGTATTTGTTAGCCCTTTTTTCTTTGTCAAATTTTTACACAGAATGTTTTCATGAACTCTATTATTCATTAGGAAACGTGGAGTTATTAGACCTGTACAGACACTTACATCCACGGTTTTCAGGGATCGTGATTTAACTCCAGCATTCAGATTTATTACCCATATTTATATAAATATATTGTCCGAAATCAAAATTTTGGCCTGTTTCCCATCAAATGATAAGACTCAAGCCCAGATATCTTTGAGAGAATACACCTTAGTCAAAATAATAAACAAATGTACAAATATATGGAAACTTCTGCACAGTTAAAGCGAACCTAAACCGTTCGACTTATAAAATCTATCATCGGAAAATTCACTGAGTGGTGGAATTGTTTGATATCATCAAAATTGTAGAGAAATTATAGAGGATGTAAGTGATCGCTTTCTAAAACATATTTTAATAGAATAAGACAAATAGTTGAAGAGAAAAGCAATTTTTGTCCAAATACATTGAAAACAACAATATATATATAGACTGATAGATATATAATATATATATATATATCGACAGAGTAAAGTATTTTTTTTCACTGCTCATTTCCATTGTATATATATGAACTATAGCGAGAGTGTTAGCAGATATATTAACGATTGTCTTAATTCATTGATTTATCAATATTCATAAACGAGTTCCCGGAAGATCCGAAAGCTTGCTTCTAATTAATTACCGACCCTCCATTAGCGTTGCTCTGAACGTCTTCATATGGTATGACGCAAGAATGTCCTCCTAACAAATTCATTCCAATTTCTGTTGATATTTTAGTGCGCGTGCTGGTTTTCTCAAAGATCATTCCAAGTGATTTTCCTTCCAGCTTGCGGAATCTATTCGAATGCAGTAGGATAAAACAAACAATTGATCTTAACCTAAAATGATCATTAACATCAACTTATCGGCGCAATGATCATTAGAAGGATATTTAAATTTGATGGTACGTCTCCATCATTACACCATAGCTTACAAACTGATTTAAAACAATTTCCTCAACTATTTTGAAGCGTAACTTATGAATTAACAGATGTATTACAGATGTACAAATTGTATTATTAATGGCGATTTATTGCACTTTGAATAAATTTAGCGTATACCAAATTGAATAGACTTATAAAAACCATGCATAAATTGTGGCCCCGCTATTTATAACATTTATAAAGGCGATGTCGATGCTTAAGTGTACTTATGAAAGTTTTCCTGGATCACGTAACAGCTGGTCGGTTATTGCTTCCTTCATCATCTAGATTCTAGAACTATATGCTACAATGAAATCGACCTAGAGTATGATCGAGAGGGATTCAAAAAAGCTTCATTCAAAGAGTTCATCATATATATATGACTGAGCTGTCTTATCATCTTTTCGATTCCCAGGATAAACACAGAAACCCCACCCTATTCCTACCCTTCTCAATCTTCCACGACAAAGGAAGACATTGGGAAAGATTTGTAATACCTTTCGTTCAGTTGCTTCATCCTTAACTTTAGGTCAGCAGCACTGCTCAATAAATGAAGAAGATCTTCTCTAGTATAGTCTGCTAGTGAAAGCAAACTTCTTCCTTTCATCGTCCTGCTGTCGACATATCTGAGCATGATTTGTAGATGCAACACTGTGGGCATGAAAAGGTAAACAATAAACTAACTCTGTTTTTTATTTGTAAAAAAAAGTAGTTTGGGTTGATTTAAATATGTATTTCCTACCTTTTTGGTGATGTAGATTGTTTTCGAATATGAGTAACACATCTGAGTGTATTACATCGAGGCAGTGTTCGATGAATCCACATTCTATGTAGTATGTTTTTACCAAGTTTCTCATATATATGAATATTATTTCTGTACTTTATCCAATTGCGTAAGGAATGAGAAAGTTATATTTGTATATATATATATATATAAATACTAATATAGACAGTATTTCTACATTTTATAAGCCGATAATAAAGGACGTAACCATTCAACGGTAGGTGCATCGTGTGCACTCACTTTTCTCACACCTTTCTCTTCAAACTAGTCGTTTACTTCTTCCGATAACACTCACATATTTTGCTATCTCATATCCGGGCCTACGTTGCCAAAGCTACAAGATTGTTTAGCGTATTTTAAGTATGGTGAAGAAATAATGAACTACTGGGCAGTTCACCGCATTGACGTAAATTACTTAAAATGTAGGTATCAATTACAAATGAATTAAAAGTTAGTCATTCGTGGTAAATGCCTAAAATTGTAGCTTTCAACAGAAATGGCAATTCATATTCAAACAATGTTTACTCATTCTAATATTGAGCTTATATAAATTTCGTTACAAATTTAAATGACAATTTCTGCCATATCTTTCCGGTTTCGGCATTAATGGATAACTATACCATACTCCAAGTTTGAAGCAAAATCGATAGCAAACCTGAGGGAAAACAGGTGCGACAACCAAACTAATTGCGACTTCCTGGCATACTGCTTTTAGGAAGCAATGTTTTTAAAAACATGTGCGGAGGCACTTTCTCAGTTATGAAGAGTTTTGAATCTTACACTAAATGTAGGTATAGAGAAAGACTTTGGCACGTTTTAGTGAGTTTTTTTTTGTAATTTTCGCATGTTTTAGCTTGATAAATGAGTCAAATGACAAATATTGATCACTGTGCTTGCACACTAGAAGTGTTTGTTCTGTATTGCGCTGTTTATCTATTCTTGGCACTATTGTGGTCCCCGAAGAATGCAAAAATAATTTTGTGGCCCCGGAAGCGGACAACTTTGGACCACCCTGCTCTAGAAAATCTAATTAAAAGCTTGCTTCTAATTAATTACCGACCGTGCTTTATTGCTGCCCTGAACGTCTTCATAACGTTATAACGCAAGAATGTCCTCCTAACAAGTGCGTTCCAATTTCTGTTGATACTTTAGTGCGTGTGCTGTTTTTCTCAAAGATCATTCCAAGTGATTTTCCTTCCAGCTTGCAGAATCTATTCGAATGCAGTAGAATAAAACTAACAATTGATCATTTAAAAATCTACACATAAGAAAGAATAAAATAACAGTCTTCCTAGCACCGTTGCAATAATTTAGTACAAAAAACCTTGGTGAAGACATAAAACATAAATTTTGCAATAAAAGGCAGACCTTTCTCACGCTTCAGTGATATATATATATATATACCATAAAAGTAGTGAGAGACGTAATTCACAGCGGACACTATGCCTTCAGAGAACTGCGACGTATTATTCATATATACACATGTTTCACGCACTGTCCAGTTCGTCATTTTAAGAGCTGGAAATATCTTGTGATAATATACTTATCGTGGCGTAGGCTACTTTGTGTGCTTTTGGAGGTTTTTTATCAGGTGGGCAACTGGTTAACTATTGACCAGACTTCACAAATATATATAATTCACAAATATAATTGATGACGCCCTGTTATGTAGTATATATATATATATATAATATATATATATATATAAAGAAACGGGACTGACGTCACAGATTGCGCAACACGATTAACCATCGGTAATCAACACTTTTGCAGTGTGGCGTAATATGTGTTCTTTGTTTAACAGCTGTTTTGACAGAATAACGCAATTATTTTTGCTTTCCAGGATCCATAAGTGAATGTGATAAATTTCTTGTTGAAAAAAAAATGCCGTGCGAGATCTGATTGAGTTTTTTGGCGATAGGGGGTTCAATTAAAGAATGACGACTGAGCAAAGAATTAACATTAAATTTTGTGTCGGTTACCCGGTTGAAACGCCAAAATTTCTTCATTGGTTTTTGCACAAATATATATTAGTCATTTCCTAAAAAGTGCGCACACACCATGATTTCTGCGCACACATACTACAAAAATTAGAGGGAACATTGGTTAAATGGAAAACTATGGATTCATCGGTGGTTGATTAGATTTCCAATTTGTTTCTGTTCTCCATAAATAAATGAATATTTCTCTTGCAGTCATGGCGCATATATATACCAGATCTCAGATTGTAGGTCCCTCCATCTTGCACTGGACATGAGGATTGAACTGATAAATACAATTTCGAAGCGTGTCTGCAACTTTCGAGATGTAGGAGTCAGCAGATACCTATCACGTCACAAAAATGTATCAGTAGAATTTGGTTGTGTTCCAAATGCTTCGGTTTAGTCGAATTGATATATATCCGTAAGGATTCCAAAGAGTAGGCTATATATATGTTTTATAAAAAAAAAAAAAAAAATAGATTGTATGAACAATTTTTATAGTGAGGAATAATAAATACTCAATATATATTATATATGGAAGGCGATTATTGGTCCAGAGCGCAAAAACTTGTTATTGGACACGAAATGAACCTATGGATCGATTTGTCATTTTGTATTTTTCCTTCTTGTCGTTGTAAAAAAAATCGCTTTCTCTCTACCGGACCAACTGCTTCTAAAATTATTATTGGTTAAGGAATGCTATTAGTTTTATTTATTTATTTTCTTTAATCTGTATGAATAGCCTACGCCTACATATGAACATTTTGTTCAGCTATCAATCAGATAACGGTGCGATTTTTCTACAAGTAGCACAAAATGACACGCTTATATCGAACATTTTTCATACAGAAAAAAACATATCAATTACGATATCGAAAGTTCTGGGCCAAAGATCAATGCTGTTTTCATTTGACAAGTTATAGACTTTCTTTGAGGCCGCGAAATTGATCCGTTTTAAGTTCAGACCCATTATGATTAAATAATGGCTCTGATAAGTTGATTCATTATTTGGGAAGATTTATACACCATTCGACCACCCTAAAATATCCAACCCCATCACGTGGCGATTAATACAATCATGGCATGAATGTCGAGTGCGCACGTGAACAGAGCCTGAACCGTTCACGTGTCGTAATAATATGAAATTCATCGCCCAACACAACACCATGCACGATCGCACGAAAATCGAGTCAACGATCTTACATACACGCATCGCGCACGTGCACAGACAGACGCTGCTGCTTGAATGCCGCCGGTAACGCCTGACCTTCTATTTAATTTCCGATCCCAGTGTTACAAGTAAGCGTATCTATAGGTAAGGTAAAACGGTAAGTAGCTTAATGGTGCAGTAATAGTTTGACAGCCAAAATGGATATAATGATAGACAGAGAGGAAACAGAAAAATATCCAGTTCCACGTTTGCAAGATTTATTGGATTTGGATCCTTATCTTAATGATTTTAAAGGCGATATCAAGAGGAGGTTTGTAGTTCTTGTTCTGTAACAGTGTGTAACAAGCAACTAGAAAGAAGTGTTATATTTTGGACCCCAATTTTAATATATTTATTACCATACTGCCACATATCTGCATATTGCTGTATTGTAGGATCGGGGAATGCTGAACTGTCTGAATGCTGGAATGTTATCATTCCGTACTGACTTATGTTTAGCACTAAAACACTACTCCACTGCAGCACTAGATAATGAGTTACAACCTCAAAAAATATTAAGGCTTTAGTTTAAAATATAAAAGTATTTCGTAATCATCTTAGATTATGAATAATAATATCTGAATATTGTTGCCCTTATTCCAGATATGCAGTGTTTCAAAAAACGAAGGATGCATTAGAAAAAGCTGAAGGATTGAGGAACTTTATAACTGGACATCGAACATTTGGCATTCATCAAATGCCAGATGGAAGTATTGAATGTCAAGAATGGGCTCCTGGTGCAAAAGCTGTTTATCTTCGTGGAGAATTCAGTAAGAAAGTAGTCTTTTTAGATTTAAAAGTTGTTAGTAAGTACTATGCCATTAAGTAGAGATGGCGGACCGGGACCACCCACACTACTATGGTACTCCATCCAGTATGCAGCTACTGGAAACAATTCTGTTACATCGCTTCTGACATAACAATAAAAAAGATCTGTGCATTTCTTGCAACTGATGTTGTCACAGCGAATCCCTTTTGAAGGTGCCTAAATCGAAGGTGTGAGTACCTTGAGGATATCCCAGAACTAAATGCTACATCGCAGTTTGGAAAACAAAATTTTGTATAAGCCTATTTGAAATAATATCTTAAAAAATCTGAAATGACAATGAAGAAAGATGGCTTTAATGTGACTTAAATTTGGTTGAAAGTTATAAAATGTAATTCTCTCTGAGGGCATTCCCTCCCAAGAGCTTTTAAAACTATAAAAAAGGCCTGGGCCTGTAAAGCATTTTGGCAAATCATATACATAATAATATGTGATTTTGTACATAATTTCTTAAAATCGGAAATCAGCAATCGCCTCTGTCTTGATATATCTGCTGTATGTGTGAAGCTCAAAATTGCATGATACCCACCCAGGATTATGAGATTTGCACAAAATATGGAGCAACAAGTTTCTTATTGATTGGCATTGAATAAATATCTAAGATGCACTGTATTTGACTCATCCATGAAAAAGGTTCGCCTGTCATCTTTGCAATAAAGCAATTGCTGCAATGATACAATGAATTGTTCATGCGATAATCAGGAGAATAATCTTGGTTTATGCTGGATATGTAATCTTCAAAGCATTATTTTTTCAGATGATTGGAATTTACAATCCCATCCTTTTGTAAAATCTGAACATGGGAAATGGAAACTTCATATTCCTGCAAATGGTGATGGGCATTGTCCAATACGTCACCTCAGCGAAATCAAAGTAAAAATTTGAATACATGTATTGAGATGTTAAAATATTCCTTTCCTAAATTAATCTGCATGTTTATTACTTATCGATTTTAATCGGTAAGTATGTTTATAGGTATCTGTCTGTCTTTTAGATGCACGCGATATCTCACGAAAACGAGATTGAATCTGCTCCAGATTTTTCATGTGCATTCATCATATCTCGGACCAGAAGCCTATTGATTTTGGGCGAATTATGTCGTATAATTAGCGAGTTATTAATTAATTAGTGATGGGACACTAGGTGTCACTATGGAGACTAAGATTGGAGCGTCACTAAAAGCGCTGTTTGGGGGGATCCCCTAACTCGGCCCTCGGTCTCTAACCGATATTCTCGTGTTCTTTTATTATTGCATTGTTTCAATTGGAATAGTCATAGTATGTTATCATTTTATGTTACAGCTTGTTATAGAAACACATCATGGGGAATTTCTAGATCGTATATCACCCTGGGCAACATATGTTGTAAAACCTCCAAAACATGAAGGTGTAACATACAAATGGTTGTTTTGGAATCCATCAGTAGATCAAAAATACAAGGTCAGTAACCAGTGCTGAATGGTACATATCAATGTCACTTGTACTTTCAGCTTGTGACATATTATCTTGTTAGAATAAGAATATTTCATATGTATGTATGTATGGGAGACATTAACAGTCTGTATATTTTTTTAGAATTTGTTCTTGTTCGGATCAATATTTCGAATAATTTCCAGGGAAATCATCTTATGTGTAATATTTTGAGGCAAACCCATTAATGAGTTATGTATGCTGATAAACATTTATTTTTTATGTGTAATTAGCTAGCAAAATAATATTACTTTTCCTGTATTGACTTTAGTGACCATATGCAATTCAAGAGTATGACCATTTTTACCAACTTGTTTGACCATTTTAGTTCAAACACCAAAGGCCACCCAAGCCAAAAGCGCCAAGAATTTATGAAGCTCATATAGGTATTGCATCACCTGAAGGGAAGGTATCCACCTACAAGTATTTCACAAAAGAACTTCTTCCTCGAATCAAATATTTAGGTTACAATTGCATCCAACTTATGGCAGTCATGGAACATGCTTATTATGCAAGTTTTGGATATCAAGTTACAAGCTTCTTTGCTGTTTCTAGGTAGGTTTGGCGTAGTTTATTGTTAAAAATGCATTGTATCATTTTGACTCTGAAGAATTAAATTCTTCTTAATTGTTCAGTGTTTTATGAAGCAATCCGGAGCTTAGATTGTGTTGAACTTTGAACATTTTATTACGAACACCAACTTTTTATTATATTTTGAATGCTTTTATCAATTATTCCGAGTATTCAGAAGGTGAGAAAATGTAAATATCAGTGATGTACACATTCTGTTTTATTGAATCGAAATTTTTTTTTTTCATCTTTTCTAGTCGTTATGGCAATCCAGAAGATCTACGAGAGCTGATTGATACAGCTCATAGTATGGGATTGTATGTTTTGCTTGATATTGTACATAGTCATGCATCAAAGAACGTATTAGATGGACTGAATATGTTTGATGGAACAGATGCATGTTATTTTCATGGTGGACCAAGAGGAACCCATGATCTGTGGGACAGCAGACTGTTTGATTACACAAAGTGAGAGACGTTATGTCAACAAGTTCATAAACAGCCAAATTTCTTTAGTAAAGTATTTTAGTAATATTTCCATCATCACAAATCGAAATTTTGCAAACGGAGATTATGATACAATAGTTGCAAAATTCTGCATATTCATGAGTGATCTTATTTGGCAAAAGCTATCCGATTAAATACACCTTTTGTGAACTGTATAACATGCTTTACTCAAAAGCTTGAATAAAACTGTATTGGTGTTACTGTTAGACCCTCATAACCTAACTTATTTCGTATTAACAACATCATTTATATCTCTTCGCCGCATTACTTTCTTAGGTGGGAAGTTCTGAGATATTTGCTATCCAATCTTGGAAATTACATGGACAATTTCCAATTCGATGGATTTCGTTTCGATGGTGTTACATCAATGATATATCACGACCATGGAATGGGTATATGACATGTGTTTTTGTATTAGGGCATGTAATATAGTATATGTTTATCAATGTTTCTACTGCGAACAAGAAATTCCCAATTGAGCATGAACCCATGATTATTATGAACAGGCAATACCAACATATAAATCTAAAGCTTTAGCCCATAGGCAATTGCGTCCACTTATGTACAGGTAAATTATCTAACATACCAGATGACCTTTAGGATATTTATCTATTTACAGCTCGTGGATTTTCAGGTGGATACCATGAATATTATGGACTTCATATTGATGTTGAATCACTAGTGTATTTAATGCTTGCCAATGATATGCTGCATGACTTTTATCCATATTGTATCACAATAGCAGAAGATGTGTCTGGTATGCCTGCTATGTGTCGTCCCGTCTGTGAAGGTGGAATTGGGTTCGATTACAGATTGGCTATGGCTATTCCAGATAATTGGATTAAGGTAAAAGATTTTTCATTGCATATAATTAACAAATGCTAATAGTTGTTTTATTTCGATCTCGATGTCGAAGTGTTCGTTTGCACATTGAAATTCAAAATTTATGTTTTAGCTATTAAAAGAGCAGAAAGATGAAGACTGGTCAATGCAGCATATTACATTTCTTCTTTCAAACAGAAGACACAAGGAAAAGTGCATAGCATATGCTGAAAGCCATGACCAGGTGAGGCATGACTGTAATGTAACCTGTGACATCAAATGTCATCAGTATAAGCATTGTTTGCATATTACCTGCATACTTTATTGCTCATTCATAGCATGCCTCTTGCCATAATTGGGCCCTCAAAATTGGTAAAATTTGAAACTGCAGGCAACTTTACTTTCGAATGCGACTTCATACAATAATTTACTTCAGAGAAATGTATATGCTCACCAGTATTTATTAGGGATGGGTCGAGATTCGGATCCTGATTCAAGTCGAATCCACGCATTTTTTGGACTCTGATTCGATTTCGATTCCACGTCATTCTTACTGAGTCTATAATCAATTCTGTTTTTTACTAATTTGCACCTACGTTTGTACTTTTACCTCTATAAATCTCAGTACATACCCTAACTGGTTAAAGTTAGTTGTTGGGTCTGTAACAATATTTCTCGTATTTATTATAAACACTCTAAATCAGGGGTCTCAAACTCGCGGCCCGCAAGACGATAATTTGCGGCCCCCGCCTTGGTATGAAAGTTTAATGTTAGTGCGGCCCCTAAGTCACTCAGCTCAGTTAGAATGAATAATACCTTTAAATTATGATCAAGACAAGTAGAGCAAAACAAAATATTTTATAATCTATCCCCCAAAAGGAATAGGCTATGTTGTAACCTACTAGTACCGTACCTGTAGGCAGGGTATTCGCTGGACCTTTGACCCCGAAGAAATTTTTTTTTTACTTTACCATTGCTAATTCTTGGTGCTTATTTTAGAGGCTTCGCGAGTTGAAGCCTATAAACTGGGGTATACGTTTCACGTCATCATTTTGATTCAAATATTTAACAACCTGTTTTTCAACAGTACCGGTAGAGAAGTTCAGCTTAGTCTGTCACAGCTATTTCTAGACTAATTTTTGATTAGGGCAATTAAGCTACGACGCCCAAGCAATCAGAATGATCATTGGGTTCTTTGATTCATACTTGGATTTCTGAAACACAACTCAGGACTAACAAATTGCGTGCAAAAACGAGGTGATGTTTACAAATATGCCTAAAAATATTTTTGAGTGACAAGTGTCTGAGCGTTTGCGAAAAAGACTTATTGTTACGTCACTTTTTGCGTCTTGCTGATTAGCCAATGTTACGGAATGAACAAGGAAGTAGATGCTCGGGGAAAGGTCCATCGCGGAATTACTTACATTTATGTTTTTGCCATGTTTTGGAAACAGAGGAAAAGATTCAACTTTTTAAGTTTAATGCTTTTATTGTGAAAAACCTGATGCGGTCTGGACTCACTAAGGCTCCGTCTCGGCGGCCCTCAGGTAAATTGAGTTTGAGACCCCTGCTCTAAATGAAAACGATGACAGATACCCAGATAATATAACGCATGTTGAAAACTATGGATTGCTCATAACAATGAGGTCGCGCCAGTCGCCAAACTATCTATCCTTTTTGATATACATACAATAAAATATGTGTTAGCGCAACATTTGAGTTTTCGATTCGCGTAAAAATGAAACATGCTCTGGATCAACTCATGGGGTAATTTCATCAATATCTCTTTTAAGTCAAGTTTATTACGTGCAATTCTTTCCCTTAAGGGAGAAATAGAAAGAATGTAGAATTTTAGAACTTTTACTTGCACTACTAAGTTGCAAGCAGATGTACCTCATTGTTTTTGACAAGTGGCATCTCTCTACCATTTGCGAACGCGACATAGTAAGTTTACGGCTAGAAGTATCTGGAATTATGGAAAAGCATTGCAGTCGGAAGCTTTTTATCTTTCATATTGACATTGCTAAATAGCCCCCGGAATTAACGGAGTTCGAAACCAAGGCGCATATTGACCCACGTTCACGTTTGTATTGTGGCCAAACAAAAGAGGGAAAATTTGCTGTAGCATGATCGAAAACGTGTTTTTCTGCTTTTCCATTGTGATGTCACAGGCTCGGAAGATTTGATTCGAGTCCTTGACCTATTACTCGGATTCGTCGAATCTCTGTAATGCCGGATTCGACCCATTCCTAGTATATATTCATTTCTAATATCCTATTACAGGCGCTTGTTGGTGACAAAACTTTGGCATTTTGGTTAATGGATAAGGAAATGTATTCTCACATGTCCACACATATGCCATTAAATCATATCATTGACAGAGGTTTACGTCTTCATATGATGATTCGTCTTGTTACCCATGGATTGGGTGGAGAGGGATATCTCAATTTTATAGGTAATTTGGAACAATGAAAAGTAGTCTTCAACTAGATGTAAAAAAGGGTGTACCGCATCAATATTGTATACTGGGATGTATAAAATAAGGTCAATATACCAACTTGCATAAGTTACAGAAATTTGGCAATATGTCACAAATATGAGTAAACAAATGAATGTCAATTGTTAGGCCAACCACCCTACGGCGGTGAGGAATTGCTCGCACCTAATTAACCACTAGACTTTGGGTGAAGGTTGAAAGGATGTACAACTACAAAACAGAACTGTTCTAAATGCATACAATATTGATATAGTGTTCGTACTTTACTAGAAGGAGATTAACAAGCAGTTTTTGATGCATAAATATCACTTAAGGTGATAGTGCCCAAAGTCAAATCTCAAAAATATAAATCCCAGCCTTGTTTTTTAGTATAAAAAAATCATGCAGCAGTATAAATTTACCTGTAAAATACTATCGTCCAAGATGTAGTCTCGAGTTCACATTCAACATATGTACACTGCCTCTAATTAGGTGGGTCTGTCAAAAATCAGTCTCAAGACTTTCCTAACCATACTGGTCACAACGTTGACAGGTAATGAATTCGGGCATCCGGAATGGTTGGATTTTCCTCGAATTGGCAACAACGAAAGTTACCATTATGCCAGAAGACAATTTAACCTGGTGGATGATGATATTCTCAGATACAAGTTTTTATATCGATTTGATGCAGCAATGCAAGCTGCTGAAGAAAAGTATGGATGGCTATCAGCCCCACAGGTATGTATTATATCACACCATTATATATAGAGGGTATAACTTGCCAGACAATTGATGTTTTTTTTCTGAATCTTGACACTAATTTGGAACGTGTGCCAATCGGGAGCTCCAGAAGTATGTACACCAAGATGGCGCACAACCTAAACAGAGTATGTGTACCAGGTTAGGATTAAGGTTGTGCGTCATCTTGGTACACATACTTCGGGAATGGGGCCTAATTTGGAGGGGGGATAACAATGGGCAACTTATTAACATCTCTTTCGCACTAATGAGTTTAATTCTATATGTAATTTGTTAGTAGAGATCAGCCTCTCAAGTTGATCAGATTCGCTGTTGATGTCTCAGTGTTCATATGATTGCAAATTTCTTCCCACATGGAGATAAGGCCTTTCATTTGTCATACTGTGCCCAGTAAAGAGCAAACCCCGTTCAAATTTTAGCTCTTAAGGTTGCTTCCTAAATTTAGGGTTATGTCAGCAGACATCACGAAGGAGATAAAGTGATCGTATTTGAAAGAGGAGGAGTTGTTTTTATATTTAATTTTCACACTTCTCAAAGTTACACAGATTATCAGATTGGTGTGGACGTCCCCGGAACGTATCCTTTTTTTTAAAACAATTTTGGTTTTTCCAGCTCTTATTCAAGGCACGTATTATGTTATTGAAAATGTTTTCAGATATATATCATAAATTTGTTCATGTTTAACAAAGAAATTTGCGAAAATCAAGTAATCAACATACTAAATATGCATAGAAATACAAAATTGCTGTGAGGATATAAACAATATTGTATTGTTTTTTCCTTTCTGCTGTATGAGTTTATTTCGACTCCATAACCAGCACAATAGACGATAAAATAGTTGATAAAAACAAATGAATAAAAACTGATTATAGAATTAAATAGACGATTTTTGATCCGATTGTCAGATGTTAATAATTGTTCAATGGCATATTTCAAAGTTTACTTTAAGTATATTGAATATAAACATAGGGATGGATATTTCAAACAGCTAAATGTTACAATTTTTTCTCTATTGCTTTTGGAATTTGATATTATTATTAGGAGGTATTTCTACTCGTTTATTTTGTCCTTGAGCATTTCATGTTACCAGCTATAAAATAGTGTTGGACACTGATAGTAAGGAGTTCGATGGTCATTGCAGAAACGATCACAGCGTTAAATTTTTCACCATGAATCAACAACATTTTGATAACCGGCAGAATTCTATGAAGGTATGTTATCAATTGTTAATTCTTGTGAGCTGTGGCTAACTTCTGTAATTAAGCTTGTGCCCCTGTATAGAAAGAATATGCTATTTCTGTTGCTAAAATTAATAGTGGATTGATAATCATTTAGTTCCGATATTTTCTATTTTGTTAAAATGTACAGACTAAATTCTGACTCAAATAATGATATAAGCATAACTTCTATTTAAGATATTTGCAAAACCATCACTCAACACAGCTAGTTTTGTATTATTAATAATTGTAGAGCAGTACAGAAAAAAATACTTGAATAACTTCACAGGTTTTTCCTCAAGCTAGGTGCCTGATATCACATGATTCCGAACTGTTTGAACTTTCTTTGAAATTTTTTTTAGATCTATATGCCTTGTCGATGTGCCATGGTACTTGCGCTGGATGAGTAGCGGATCACTTCCAACAAAGGTATTGGTTCACTTTTCACATGCAGTACACAGAGCCAATATCATATAAAGCACTTATATCAATAGTAAATGTATTCATCGCAAGATTATGGTGCATGGTTTTCTCATATATGCTTTATAATGTGGGTGTTATTAAAACTTATCTGATGGCAATCGTTTTCGTTTTTCTGTATTAGGTGGTAATTTTACAATATCGTACTCGGGCACAGGTAACAATACAGCACCAACAGTTCCTGGTCTCTCCCCTATCAATAGATTATATGTACCACAAGCATTTTTAGTGTCCTGTATTTCCAGATGTACTCCCCTCTGCCGAACAGCTGACATAACGACTGGGTTTAGCCTCTCGACTTTTGCACCAGTCCCCACTATGATGAGGTCTGAGAACAAAATTAGGAAAAATAACTCCTAAATAGTGTTAATTTTACAAGAGAGCTGCGCCTACTTACCTATCGGGGGATAAATGACGTTAAAAATTGAAAACGCGGCTTCATTGATGTCTTCAACATTGGATATCTGTCAAAGAATGATAGTGTATTCTGAAGTCTAATTCTAGCAGGGCTCTGGAGACTGAAATTTTGACGAGAATGCTCTTAGTTTCTATCAATTACCAGCTTTTATGTAGATTACTCAAATCCAAGCAAGTTAATAATTTAGTCCATACCATGACCATTTTTCATGTCGCATCGAGGTAAAAATTTCCTTTATGGATGTACTAAGTAAGATATCTACGGTTGTGAAATCATACAACACCTAGTTTAAACATACATTCCATTTGAGCACTGTTCTGGGAAGAAGTGCAATTGAACCCATGATGATGCGATCATGAAATTTGAATCCACCTCCAACTATATTTGTAGGTGTGAAAGGTCGCATATCAGACTGTTCCTGCGATCCGAATGTCATTTTTGTTTTTTGCATTTCATTCATGTCTTCATGATCTAGTTTTCCAAGCAATCTGGTATAATACAATATACATATCCATGTCATGTGCAAAAATATATGAATTGTATATTGTATGAAAAAATTCCCACTGCTTGATTCAATACACTTCTCTTCCCTAACATGATAAATTTTGACTCTGGACTCAAGGTATTGAAATCACTGCTCTCGGGTTGGCACACTTGCCTCTCGCAACTAAATGCCACGTTTGTATCCTGCAGAGTGTAATTTTGAGCAAGAGGATTGCTTGCTGGGTTCTTGACATCGTAGGGCGGGCAGGTCACCACCCAATTGTGTCAAGTCTATGCATATAAAACTGATAATATGCAATAAAGAGTTCTTTAGTCATAATAGAATATTCTCACTTACGGTATGTATATTATACACTCACCTGCTGCAAAATGCGACATTCCTACGGTGAATCATAATTCTTTTAGAGGTATTGTGCAGAATGCCAACAACTCTCATTTTTAAGATTGCCAACTGAAGCGATCACCCAAAATATTATACAATCACAATGAACACATACATAGATCTAACGAAAACAAAACTCTTCTTTTGAGATAAAATATATATTAATGCAATGAAATTGATCAAATATTGGCTGGCAGTGGTAGCTTACGGTAATTAAAATCTTGACAAGGCAGAATAAAAATTAAAATAATACAGTAAAAGTAACCGGACACTGAGAGCGTTTGACAGACTAAAAAATTCTACAATGTGCCAAAAACATTTTCAACATGTTGCGTAATGAACATTGAAATAGAAACAAATTGTGCTAGTAAGATAATAAACGCCTTTGCTGGCACTTTATCATGAAAAAGCAGAATTCAATCTGATAAAGAACATGCAAAATGAAAAATCAAAGTTTATAGCCAACTCTTGAATTAGATTTGTATTTTTTCCTGGGTGTAAATGATTTGAATAAAGATTCATCTGCCATTTTGTCACCACGTCGAAGTTTTGTGCTGAGATTTGGTTCTGCGTATGATACTTTTTCTGTTGCACTTCGCCTGCTACTTCTTCTTGATGGTTCGCAATTTTCAGAATTTGTGGATTTTCTCTGGGATAAACGTTTATCTGGTAGATCTAATGAATTTGCTACATTTTGATTATTTTCATCAATAAAATGTTCAACATTGGTAGCAGCCATTTCATTGTTATAATCATCTAATGCTTTCTTTGTTTCTGTCATTTGATTTATTGGTGATGTTTCTATGAAGACTTGTTGGTTTGAAGAGTTTTGATCTTCTGATTCAAACTCAGTGTTGGGAACATTTTGTAAAACCTCAATACAGTTAGTATTTGGAGCAGTCAGTTCCATGTAAACAGTTTCATGATTTGTAATGTTATCGGTTTCTATCTTTTCATCGATTTCAGAAACTGAATCATTTCTGCTGCTTATGTCTGAAACAGAAAGTTCGCTCCCAACTGATGAGTCGGAAGTAATGGAAATATTTTTGGATTCATCGTGTGAACTTCCAATGTTATCATTTTTCACGGAATCTATTGCAATTCCAGCATTTCTTAAATGTTTTTGCAACTGAGACAACATTTTATCCATTTTGTGAGATTCCTGCAAGAAATGACAGTTTTCTTTCTCTATCAAATTGATTTTTTTTCTGTCTGATGCAATTGTGGCAGAAAATATCCGATGTTGTTCTTCGAAATGATAATTTACCATTGCAAGTTGACGATTATATTGTTTTGCTTTTATGGCAGTTGCAACTATATCTTCATTTTTTTGTTGTAGTGATACCGCTTGCTTCAGACAATGAGCTTGGGTGCTTGAGGCTTCTCGTTTTTTTCTTCGTTTTATTGATCCAATGCTACGATCGAGTGATCGATTTACAGCTTTCCTAGCTCGCTCAGATTTGGCTTTTTTAATAGCTTGCACAAGTTTCTCAGTGTCTATTTTAGTTTTGTTGCAAGGTGGGCGAGACATATCCATTTTAATCAATTTGTATGGTTGGTAAATGAATAAAATAGCAATATCCGAGAATCCTTATGAAAACAATATTCTGAATAGTAAAACAAGAATATGTAGGTATATAAGATAGTTTATTCTGAACTTTGCCCTGTTGTAAAAAATCACTGAAAGAGGTTTAAAAGTCAGAAAGTTGAGAGGCAGACAAAATGTCACAAAGCGGGTTTGTGAGTAAGTAGTAGTCAAAGTAGCAAAGACCACTCCAACAGGATGACATAAGACAGTTTGAGACAATAGTAAAGTTTATTTCGATTTCATGATCAGCATCAAAGACGACAAAAATATTGATAAAAACAAAACTGATTACAGAATCAGGACAGCGAACAAAACTTAGTAGGCCTAATGTTCAAAACGTAGGATTGAAGGGTTTTGTCCAAAAAAGTGGTATGTGTACGCAGTGGCGCAACCAGGCCGTTTTCAACGGGGGGTCCGACCGGAATTTACACAGTGCAACCACGACGTAAGTCGCAACGCCACTAGGTGTCGCCCCGCTGACCACGATAAATTGCTCATGGTTAAAAGGGAAACGCCATCAATTAAATCCCAGCCTTTCGCTTACCTTGCACTCGTTCATTAACGGCGCTTCGCTATGTCTTGCACCTCGTGGGTAGCAAAACGCCGTTCATTACATTCCAGCGAATTGCTAACGAAAAGCTGTTAATTATTTTCAACGTTTTCCTCGCTTTGCGCCTCGTGGATAGTGAAACACGGCTTGAATAAATTCCAGTGTTTCCCTCGTGCCGCGCCTTGCTCGTTAGGTGAATTCGTCAAGACTAAAAACAAAATGCACTTCTTGCGAATGGACCTTTACCCGACCCTAACCCCGGAAAAATTCTAAACTAAACTGAAGCTCACCGGAAGACATAATGACAATTAAAATAATTGATTTACAACTAATTTTTGGAAACACAACTAAAAACTGACTAATTTAATGCAGGGATGTCCAAATCGAATTTAAATTCAAATATCGCAAACTTCAAATACTGTTTTTTCGTGTTTATAATAATCCCAAATATGGCGCACATATCCTAGGCGTCGTCGTCCATGTGTGGTTCGGCAATATATTACAGCTGACATGAAAGAATTTCGATAAACGCCGACTTGAAGAACTTATAAGACTTCGAGGACGTTTTTGATTGAAAATATTTTCTTATCGGGTATTTTAACTTAGTCGAGATGGTTTAGGCGTCCTCGGCAAATTGTGTCTTAATTAGTTGTTTTCATCCTCAGTTTCGATAGTGACCGAACATAACAGGAAATTTTTTCTTCTAATTTAGCGCGTATAAAATAGCTCTTAAATAGTATTTAATATCTATCGCGGATTTCGTCGGCATCCGGCATTGATAACAACATCAGTTCAGTTAAAGTTAGCGGTATTCATTTACAAACAAAAATACATAACAGCCGACATGAAATATTCAAATCAGCGCAGAATTCAATAATAAAACACGTTTTATGGTCTTAATATGCACATAGAAAGAAGAAAGGACAGAGAAATAACGACTAAGAACGGTATGGTATGTTTGTGTACTTTTGTTTACCATCGTCACCATAATCAAATTAGTTAAACCCGATTCCCAAATTTCCGTCCGCCAATAATGGAGAATGAAGATGGAAAAACGTGTTTTACTTTTTGAGTCAGCGTTGATTTAAATTTTTCATGTTATGTGTTATAATTTTTTGATTATAAACCAATACCTCCAACTTAAAATGAACAATATTGTTATCAACGACGTCAGGACTCGGGATAACGATAAAATCTCCGATAGAAACCAAATAATATTTAGAAGCTATTTTATAGATTGTAAGAAATTAAAAAATTTGACTAAATTGAAATATACGATAACAAATGTAAAAAATTTTCAACCAAAAACGTCCTCGACGTCTTATAAGCACTTCAAGTCAGAGTTTATCGAAAACCTCTCACGACGACTGTTAGTTATTGCCGTCGATTGCGATAAAAAATTAAATAATTGTGGAATGTTTTTAAATCAGAACGTGGACGGGGGCGGTAGGATGTTTACGGCGTTTTCGGTTTTCGGCCTTTCATATGTATAAAATCTTAGGTTATTCGAAGCAATATTTTTCCGAAAATAATTTTCGTATCCAGATTTTCAGAGTTTCTACTGCATTATTATAACATGAAGACGGGCGGCGTTACATTGCGTCAAGATGATGAAGCACGAGAGTATTCGTCACAAGAGAGAGAGAGATAGCATTATGCTATTGTCGCTTTCAATTCGCATCGACAGCGCGCGATTTCTACTTTTTTGAGATAACATATCTCATTTTCGAATACAAACATATACGCGGGGTTAGCGATTATTACGTAGTTATCAGCAAAAAGGTAAGATTGAAGTCGGGCGGTGTTAAATTACGTCGAGGTGATAAAGCACTGGAAAAAAGTAGTTTTCACCGAATTGTTATGACCGTGGAACGACGTTGTTTTAACATAGAACAATAATAAAAAAAAACGAAATTCAAACGGGGGGGGGGGGGGGGGGGGGGGGGGGACACATATCATTTATCATCGACATATCTTTCGAAACATATCAACAAACAAGCTGGGGTTACCACTGTGAAGTGACTCTCACGGTGACCTTTGTGTGCAACCAAGCGAAAAGTTCAAATATCATATCAGAATCGGAGGCGGGACTAAATTCCCATACACAATTGGGAAGCGAATGAATATAAAAATACAAAACTAAAGTTATATTCGGAATTTCTGTGAATTGGAACAATAAGTGCGTGCCGGAAAAATGTAAAGTGCGAATCATCAAACAAAAGCTTATAAATATGAGTTTTAAACTGAAAAAATGCAGCACGAGTAATTACTTTAAAAATAAATATCGTAAAACATACACTTTTCAAACATTACTCACATGTCTTTCCGCCCAAGAGGGGCGAGATTTTATTGATTGATATAAAAAAGATTCATACACTCTACACAATACAATTTGAGTCGATGGGTACAAAATTTTAAAATTATATGTAATCCATTGCTGAAAAAAGCCTATTTCGCCTATATCGTCATAGGTGAAAAATCGTAAATTTATGCACTTTTCAAACATTACTCACATGTCTTTCCGCCCAAGAGGGGCGAGATTTTATTGATTGATATCATAAAGATTCATACACTCTACACAATACAATTTGAGTCGATGGGTACAAAATTTTAAAGTTATGTGTAATCCATTGCTGAAAAAAGCCTATTTCGCCTATATCGTCATAGGTGAAAAATCGTAAATTTATGCACTTTTCAAACATTACTCACATGTCTTTCCGCCCAAGAGGGGCGAGATTTTATTGATTGATATGAAAAAAATTCATACACTCTACACAATACAATTTGAGTCGATGGGTACAAAATTTTAAAATTATGTGTAATCCATTGCCGAAAAAAGCCTATTTCGCCTATATCGTCATAGGTGAAAAATCGTAAATTTATGCACTTTTCAAACATTACTCACATGTCTTTCCGCCCAAGAGGGGCGAGATTTTATTGATTGATATAAAAAAGATTCATTAACTCTACACAGTACAATTTGAGTCGATGGATACAAAATTTTAAAATTATGTGTAATTCATTGCTGAAAAAAGCCTATTTCGCCTATATCGTCATAGGTGAAAAATCGTAAATTTATGCACTTTTCAAACTATACTCACATGTCTTTCCGCCCAAGAGGGGCCAGATTTTATTGATTGATATAAAAAAGATTCATACACTCTACACAATACAATTTGAGTCGATGGGTACAAAATTTTAAAATTATGTGTAATCCATTGCTGAAAAAAGCCTATATCGTCATAGGTGAAAAATCGTAAATTTATGCACTTTTCAAACATTACTCACATGTCTTTCCGCCCAAGAGGGGCGAGATTTTATTGATTGATATGAAAAAAATTCATACACTCTACACAATACAATTTGAGTCGATGGGTACAAAATTTTAAAATTATGTGTAATCCATTGCCGAAAAAAGCCTATTTCGCCTATATCGTCATAGGTGAAAAATCGTAAATTTATGCACTTTTCAAACATTACTCACATGTCTTTCCGCCCAAGAGGGGCGAGATTTTATTGATTGATATAAAAAGATTCATTAACTCTACACAGTACAATTTGAGTCGATGGATACAAATTTTAAAATTATGTGTAATTCATTGCTGAAAAAAGCCTATTTCGCCTATATCGTCATAGGTGAAAAATCGTAAATTTATGCACTTTTCAAACTATACTCACATGTCTTTCCGCCCAAGAGGGGCCAGATTTTATTGATTGATATAAAAAAGATTCATACACTCTACACAATACAATTTGAGTCGATGGGTACAAAATTTTAAAATTATGTGTAATCCATTGCTGAAAAAAGCCTATATCGTCATAGGTGAAAAATCGTAAATTTATGCACTTTTCAAACATTACTCACATGTCTTTCCGCCCAAGAGGGGCGAGATTTTATTGATTGATATAAAAAAGATTCATACACTCTACACAATACAATTTGAGTAGATGGGTACAAAATTTTAAAATTATGTGTAAGCCATTGCCGAAAAAAGCCTATTTCGCCTATATCGTCATAGGTGAAAAATCGTAAATTTATGCACTTTTCAAACATTACTCACATGTCTTTCCGCCCAAGAGGGGCGAGATTTTATTGATTGATATAAAAAAGATTCATACACTCTACACAATACAATTTGAGTCGATGGGTACAAAACTTTAAAATTATGTGAAATCCATTGCTGAAAAGTGCCTATTTCTCAAATATCGGCATAGGTCAAAAATCGTAATTATATACACTTTTCAAACGTTAGTCACATCGCTTTCCTCCCAAGTGGGGAGAGATTTTATTATTTGATATTAATAAGGTTCTAAAAGTCTACACAAAACAACTTGAATCGATGGGTACAAAATTTTAAAATTATGCGTAATCCATTGCTGAAAAAGCCTGTTTCGCATATATCGGCATAGTTGAAAAATCGTATATCATATATCATTCGATCGACGTACACAAAGGAAACAAAATATTCTTAAAGTTTGAGATTTATTCATATTTATTCAAAGTCCCAAATGCATATTTGATACATAATAAACAGACCTAATATTATACAGACAAAATTTGGAAGCCAAATCGTAGAGAATTAAACTAGAAAAAGCCAGGTTTAATTAATGAATATAAAACATACAAAAATACATACAATATATACATGTTATAAGTCTTCCAAATTCAAAATGTTTTGCCTAAGGTGCAATTAAAATACACATATTTAAGATGCAAAAAATTTAGAAGTCCATGTATCCACGCAAACAGGGTGAGATTTTATCATTTTATACAAATGAGCTATATTTAATTAATAAGGTACATACACTATACATACATCTCAAAAACATACATTGCGTA